GCAATTTTTTGGTATGAACTGCGCTAAAGAGCCAAGTGGTTCAGCCAGACGAGTGAGAAGAACTACTACTACTACTACTACTACTACTACTACTACTACTACTACTACTACTAGACGACTATCACCACTACTAGTACTAGTGCTGGTGCTAGTAATACTAGTACCAGTACTACTCCTCCTCCTATTACTGCTGCTTTTTCTGCTTCCTCCCCCACTTTACACCCAGAGATACCCCGCTCTGGAGTCATTTCCGTATAAACCACCATTCGGGTGAGGTGAGGAAAGACCACCGCAACCCCCCACATACTTTCTGCGGTTTAATAGGGAAGAAGGGAGTCTATTATATAGGGATTACAAAGGAGAAAAAATACCTCATTCCCTACAAACCCCCAGCAAGAACGTGTAGAGGCCAAAATGAGGGGTCAGCTTTTCCAATGGTACTAACCCCCTGTTCTAAGATTAAAAGCCCCCCCACCCTTCCAATGTTGAATATTTTCCACTATGATATAGTTCACCACAATAAGATTATCTAGTATCAAGGGTGTGGGGGTACATGATGTCAGACGCGGCCCAATACCACACGCCAGCGTTCTGCTTAGTAGCAGTTCTAGGGGAGTATGGGATGTTACCTGGTTATGATTCACGGATTTTCCATACATAAGCTTTTTTGTCATCATTTTTCAGACGTGGGCGGGAGTTGTGTGCAAGGGATGCAAGCCCAGGCTCAGACAAGCAAGGGTTCTAGAACTTCAGGGGTTGGGTTTCAAGCTTTCAGGTTTTCTAGCCCAAGCAATCACGAAACGGACCACCCGAAAACAGACGAGCCCAAACCACCGCCCCACCCAGAAAACGTCCAGCCCACAACAGCGCGTCCGAGTTACAGATGAGAGCAAAGCGGCCTGTCTGCGAGAAGCTGGTGCACAAGACCTGTGGCTCAAAGGCTCGCGCGTGCCATGGGTTGGGTTTAGGGTTTAGGGTTTAGGGGTTTAGGAGTTTCGGGTTTAGGGGTTATATGTTAGTTTCCCTTAATGGGGGGAACTCAACCTAGACGCCAAAATCTGTTCATCATCTTTCATCATTATTTTAGGGACCCTAAGAAGGTATCCATATTTTGGGAAACTCCACATTGTTCAGGATCTAAGGCTCGTGAAAGCTCAAGGCAGTTGGAAGGAACATTTTTCGAGCTGGGCAAGTGTCCTAGCCAAGCACCCCTGTCCCTGGAGTAGGGTCGCCCTTGAGTAGATAGAATATGGCTTTGGGTGTATTATAATAAGATCCCCATACACCCCATATTTTATCTACTTAAGGGGGACTAGAGGGTCAAGAGTTGCGGATACGACCTCGGGGCTTCTAAAGCTCCTGCATCTACTTGTATGGTCCTGTTTGAAGTAAGGGTTTTGGGTAAGTCTAGGGGATATACTCCTGTACTAAATGGTCGACAAGGCATATGGAAGTTATGGAGTACCCAGAACGCGAGAGGTCCGGGATAAGAAGAAGGCTACGGGGTGCACAGGGTAGGAGAGAAGTAAAGAAATTTTGAATGTGTTGGCTGTGGACCCTTTCCCTTTTTGAGCCCTAAACCCGAAACCCTAAAGTGGGGGACCAATACAAGTTGCTATTACTGCCCTGCTCAGGTCATGTGTCAAGGTCTGGCGCCCAATGAAGGAGACGTCGGGGTCGTTTCTAAGGAAAGGAAACGGTGGGATGCCAAGCACACTGGAGACGCGAGATTTTCTAACATCAGGTACCTGATTCCTGGCAATGAGGGGGATAGTATTCCCGGATTTGCACGGCGTTGTGGGTTTGAGGGGTTTAGGGGGTTCCAAGGGTTTCAGGGTGTTGGGGGGTAGCATTGAAGACCCGATTGGGTGCAAGGAGCACTCGCCAAACCCATAAGCCTCAACCCCAAGGCCTATGCACCCTCACTAAACCATAATCCTAAATCCAAAGCCTGACATGAGTCTAAACCCTTAACACTACACCCTAATCCCTGAACCCGTACTTCTAAACCCCCAGCCTACGCTCTGCGAACGCTCCTTCGGCCTTGGCATTTGGCGCCAGCGTTGCTACAAGCCGGGCATTCGGCAGGCTCTGCAAAGCCTGATCTTTGAGGGTTTAGGGTTTAGGGATTAGGGTTTAAGGCTTACGACGCATATGGAGCAGGGTTCAGGTGTATATAGGGATCTACGAGGAAATGCAGGAATCTAGGGGTTTCGGACTGATGAAGAGTAGAATTTGGGCCTTGTAACCAACACTCTGCATCATAAAGCAAGATCCCAAACCCAAAGATACTGACCCTAAAGCGCAAATCCCAAACGGAGATTCTGCGCCCAGAGTTCCAGATTAATTCATGTTGACCTCATATAAATCGACCCCGCATAGCTGCAAAATCCATGCCAAAACGCACAACTTAGCGCTGGAAGAGTAACGTGCTGCCAAAGATTGTCAGAGTCCCTGCTTTTTGGAGGCCAGATAGCCAGATGCAGATACCCTAAACCCTAAACCCTAAACTGAATTACGGAGGCTCGGGCCGCATCCTAAGGGGTGGTGGATCTCTTAGTATACAGTGAACAGTAGACTCTTTAGTCTAGAAGGTGTAACACAAATTTCTTGAACGAGTGGGTTCTGTAGGGTCCAGAAAACCCCTGAGCTTCAGTTGGGCTCAGACAGGGGTAGCTGCACAACAAATTCTGGCCTGTCCAGTAAAAATTACTGGACATGATTTCGTTCAGGGTCTATGGCTTATGTTTTTAAATGAATGCCTGAAAGGGAGTTTAAAGTAGCTTGTTTATGAGTATCCCCAT